ATGGGGGCCCCTGGTATGGGGGCCCCTGGTATGGGGGCACACAGTGGTACTGGTGGTATAGGAGGAGGGGGCCCCATTGGGGTTGGGGGAGGGGCCCCTGGTGGAGGGGGAGGAGCAACAGGAGGAGGGAATAATATTTCTTCCTTACAGTATCAACATATGCAGCACCAGCAGCAACAGGTGCAGCAGCAAATGCAGCAGCAGCAGCAGCAGCAACAAATGCAGCAAATGCAGCAAATGCAGCAACAAGAGGGAGGAGCTGGTATAGGAGGTAATAATATAAATAGTAGTAATAATAATAATAATAATAATATTAATTGGGGTGTAGGAGGGGGGCCCCAATCCATTGGAGGAGGTATTGGAGGGGGGGCCCCTATTCATGGGGGCCCCTCCTCTAATTATAGTACCCTATATGGAGGGTACGAGGGGCCCCTCCTAGTAGATGTAAACCCTAAAGCTTATCGTATAAAATGGCAAGATGTAGCCTATTCAGAGTACCTTCCTATAGTTAAGGGGGGCCCCCTTGGGGGCCCCCAGGAGGCCCCCCTAGGGGAAAAATTCATAGAAGAGGTAGAGGAGGCCCTTGAGCTTCTTGATAGAGAATTAGCCCTTAGGACAGCATCAGAGAATCACCAAAGAATTATGATGCAGCAGCAGCAGAGTGCTGCTGCTGCTGCTGCAGCAGCAGCAGCAAATGTAGCAGCAACAGTACCTAATAATAATGTAGTTAATGGTGGTATTCCTAATGCTGCTGCTCCTACTAGTGGGGTTCTGCCTGTAGGAGGGAGTGCAGCAGCAACAGCAGCAGCAGCTGCTGCTGCTGCTGCAGCTGCAGCAGCGGCTCCACAGGCATCACATGCAGCAGCAGCAGCAGCGGCTGCAGCAATTGGGAGGCCTGACAGCTTCTCAAGCACAGCAGCATCAACACTGCAGCAAGCAGCAGCAGCAGCAGCAGCACAGCAAGGTAGAGGAGGCCCCCTTCCTGGGACAGGACCCAAAACAGCAGCAGCAACAGCAGCAGGGGGCCCCACAGGCTAACATTATTAACAACAGCAGCAACAACAAGAATAACAACAACAACAACAACACCAGCAGCAGCAGCAGCAAGTGCTGTTGCTGCACCTCAAAGAGCTGCTCAAATTGCCTCCGCTGCTGCTGCTGCTGCTGCTGCAGCGCGTCGCAGCAACAAGCAAGCGACAACAATGGGGAGGTCATGGGCAGAACAATGCTGCTGCTGCTGTAGCAAAACGCCAGCAGCAGCAGTAACTGCAGCAGCAAACTGCAGCAGCAAGACCGACGAATTTGCTGCTGCAGGGGGAGGGGGCCCCCCTACCTGTCTTAGGGGGCCCCCCAAGGTGTGGAGCACGGCTATGGCCGGCCCCTATAACAAGCTAGCTGGGCAGTACAGCTAGCTAGCTAGCTAGTTAGCTAGTTATCTATCTATCTATCTAGCTAGCTAGCTGGCTAGCTATTAAGCTCTTTAGCTAGCTAGCTAGCTAGCTAGCCAGTTAGCTAGCTAGCTAGCTAACCTCATGGGAACTTTTCTTGCCACAGCAACCAATTTGAATGGAAGATTTTTTGGGCTTCCTTATAGCTATAAAAAATTAGGGTTTAGGGTTTAGGGTTTAGGGTTTATGAGTAGGGGTTATTTTGTACAGATACTTAGGGTTTAGGGTTTAGGGTTTAGGGTTTACGAGACGCAGCGAGGGTTTGTAGGGTGTTGATACTACGTAATTAGATAGACAGACAGGAGGTACCCTCTAAACCCTAAACCCTAACCCTAAACCCTAAACCCTCAGGTAGCTATAGCAGACGGAGGCGCCTATAGTGTTTATCTATTGCTAGTCTACTTTAGTCTACTACTACAGCTAGCTAGCTACCTAGCTACCTAGCTAACTAGCTAGCTAGCTACCTAGCTAACTAGCTAGCTAGCTAGCTAGCTAGCTAGCTAGCTAGCTAGCTAGGGTATTAATAATAAAGAAAAAAGGCAGCAAAAAATAAAGACAGGAAAAAATGTTGCTTTTGCTGTGTCTTAGTACACCAAGCTATGTCTACATTAAGTTAGGGGGGGGGCCCCCTGGGTACCTAGATGGGCCCCCCTGCAGCAGCAACAGGGGTTTGGGGGGCTCCTCTGTGCTGCAGCTGCAGCAGCAAAAGGATTGGATCTTGCTGCTGCTGCTAGCTGTATATACAGACAAAAACAGCAGCACCACCAATACATCAGGGGCCCCTCTGGGGGCCCCTCTAAGGATACTTAATTATATCTAGAGTGTGGGGGGCCCCCCGAAGGGGCCCCCTATTGGCATACTTAAAGGAGCAGTGGGGCCCCCAGGGGCCCCATGCCAGTTGGAGGGGCCCCTTGTCAAAGGATGGGGCCCCCCTCCCTAATGGGGGGCCCCCGTCGTGGGGGGCCCCATTAAAGTACCCCTGTAGGGGGGCCCTTCAGCAGTACCCGCAGATACAACTTTCAACAGCAGGCCCTTCCGACGCCCTGCAGCAGCAGCAGCCGCTGCTGCTGCTGCAGTTGCCGCAGCAGCTGCTGCAAGCACCTTCCTCTTGTGGAGGTAAGTCTGCTGCTGCTTCTGCTGCTTTTGCTGCTGCTGCGTCTGCTGCAATAGTGTAGGTGGCGTTTGCAGTATGCAGTTCCTGCTGCAGCATCTGCTGCTGCTGCAGTAGCTGTTGTTGCTGCTGCTGCAGCAGCCACAGCTGCTCGAGTTGTTCAGGGAAGACAACGAGCTGTTGCTGCTGCAGCAGCTGCTGTTGCTGCTGCGCATCTGCTGTTTGCTGCTGTTGCTGCTGCATGTCTGCTGTTGGATAAAGCAAGACCCACATAGGGGCTCCACCAGCTGCTGCTGCTGCTGCACCATCAGCAGCAGCAGCAGCTGCTGCTGGTGCTGCAGACCCTTCTGGATCTACAGCAACAGAAACTTCTGCAGGCATATACACTTGTAGGTTATGTGCATATTGCTGCTGCTGCAGCAAGTAACCGTATTGTTGCTGCTCTTGCTGCTGCTGCTGCTGCACTTGTTGCTGGACTCCCTCCTCCCCTTGCTGCACCTCTTGCTGCTGCTGCTGCTGCATGTACTCCTCTAAGGCTCTTCTTACTCTTAGTTGGTCCTCTATAGGTAATGACTCTACGGGTACAGGTGCTGCCTCTACCATCTCTCCTTGTATAAGAGGGGCCCCTTGGGGGGCCCCTAGGGGGGCCCCAAGGGCAAGTGTTGTACCCTCCGGTAGGGGGGCCCCTGCCCAAGGAGCTCCGATGATATAAGCTACTTGCTGCTGCCCCAGCTGCTGCTGCTGTTCTAGCTGCAGTTGCTGCTCTAGCTGCTGTTGCTGCTCTAGCTGCTGCTGCTGCTCTAGTTGCTGCTGCTGCTCTAGCTGCTGCTGCTGCTGCTGCATCTCTGGTAGGGTTCTCCTGCTGCTGCCTCCCATCATGTCTAGAGGTAAGGAACTTCTGCTGCTGCACCTTGACTTTGCTGCTTCTTGTGCGCAGCAGCAGGATATCTTGTTCATACATCCCTCTTGCTGCTGCTGCTGCTGCTGCTGTTCCTGCTGCTGCTGCTCCTGCTGCAGCAGCTGCTGCAGCTGCTCTGGCTGCACTGGAAATGTGCTGAGGAAATTCTCTGAATTCGTCACCAAAGATACACGCGAGCTGCATGCGCTGTTGATGAGCTGCTGCTGTGCTTCCTGCTGCTGCTGCTGCTGCTGCTCTTCCTCCGGCTGTTGCTGCTGTTTCTCTTCCTGCTGCTGGCAGCAGGAGGCGGGCATGCAGGAGGACCTCATGGATATCCAACAGGCAACGTGTCTTGTGGTAGATGCATTGTCCTCATCTGCTGCTGCTGCTGCTGTTCCTGTTGCTGCATCTGCAGCAGCAGCATCTTGAGCTGTATGTACAGAGCAGCAGCTGCTGATTCGCTGCAGCAGATGAGGTTCTCCGCTTTTGCTGCGTTCTCTCCTAGTTGCTTCGGGTGTTTGCTGCAGTGCTGCTGCTGCTGCTGCTGCTTCTGCTGCTGCAACTTGAGCTACCTCTTCAATCACCGTTCTTGATGTGCGTCTGCTGCTCTCCCTCTCTGCTGCTTCTGCTGCTGCTGCAGCAGCCTCTGCCTCAGCAGCATCTGCTGCTGCTTTTGCAGCAGCAGCAGCAGCAGCAGCACGTTCACGTCTTGCTGCTACCTTTGCTGCTGCTCTTGCTGCAGTCTGTAGGGCCTTAGAAGACACAAAAGAAATAGGCTCAGAAGCAAGCGATCTCTGTGAAGGAATAGGGGATGCAGCTACTTGCTGCTGCTGCTGCTGCTGCTGCTGCTGCTGCAGCTGCAGTGCCTGTAGCCTCATCTGTAGCTCTCGTTCCCTTTGGTTCAACTCCAGGTGTCTTTGTCTTTGCTGCTGCTGCTGCAGGGTGAGCTGCTGAAGCTGGGACCTCCCTCCGTCGTCCATCAGCTGCTGCAGCTGCTGCTGCTGCAGCTGCAGCTGCTGCTGCTGCTCCTCCAATGTCCTGTGCTGGAAGTTGATGGTTATTGCTGTTTGCTCTGAGTCTTGCGATGCTTCTCTTAGTAAGTTGCATGCAGCGCTGCAGCTGTTTCCTTGTGCAGCAGCAGCAGCAGGTACAAATCCTCGCATTTGCTGCTGCTGCAGCATGCGCTGCTGCCGTAGAATTGCTGTTTGTTGGGGTGTATGTGCAGGTGGATAGAAAGCAACAAGTCTTCTTTTTTCCTTATCTTGTCTTGTTTGTGCCTGCAGCAGCACGAAACGAACTGCTGCTGCACCATCCTCTCTTGGTGTAACTGCTGTGCTGCTGCTGGGTGTTGACCAATGGTCCGATGCTGTTGCTGCTGCTGCTGCTGCTGCTGCAGGTCTTGTATATTTCTTTGCTCTTAATACCCTAAGCTTAACAGGTACATAGGGAATGTTGCCGCTCTCTATATGAGGAAGTTTCTGTGGGCGTCGTACTTCGCATGCACGTTCTGCTGCTGCTGCTGCTGCTGCTGCTGCTTCTGCTGCTGCTGCTGCTGCTTTTGCTTCTGCAATTGCTGCTGCTTCTTCTTCGTCTATTACACCTTGTTCTCCGTCTGCTGCACCTGTTTCACCTCCTGCTTCTGCTGCTGCATCTCCCTCCCTTGGTGATGCAGCAGCAGCAGCAGCAGCACGTGGCCATTTGCTGAACCAAGCAGCAACACCACTAAGGATACCCCCACCACCAGATTCCTTCTGCTGCTGTTCTTCCTGCTGCTGCTGCTGCTCTTCTGTTTGCTGCATTTGCAGTGTTTGTTGCTGCTGCAGTTGTTCTTGCTGCTGCTGCTGCTGCTGCTCCTCGTCCTCTAAGGGGCTACGTGATGGGCAGCAAGCACAGACAGCAGCAGCAGCAGCAGAATCATCAAGGATTGTTGTCTTTATTTTGCTGCATTTTTCTGTTGTTATTGATTCGCAGCAAACACAATATACAGGAAAATTAGTTACACCGTCGCAGTCTTGCTTGCTGCTGCTGCTGCTGCAGCTGCAGCTGCAGCAACCCTGCTGCTGCTGCTGATCCTGCTGCTGATGCTGTTGCTGTTGCTGTTGCTCCCATTGCTGCTGCTGTTCAGGTGTCCACTGCTGCTGCTGTTGCTGCTGTTCCCATTCTTGTTGCTGTTCAGGTGTCCACTGCTGCTGTTGGTCCCATTGCTGCTGCTGCTCCCACTGCTGCTGCTGTTCAGGTGTCCATTGCTGCTGCTGGTCCCATTGCTGCTGCTGGTCCCATTGTTGCTGCTGCTCCCACTGTTGCTGCTGCTCAGGAGTCCACTGCTGCTGTTGCTCCCATTGCTGCTGCTGTTCAGGTGTCCACTGCTGCTGCTGCTGGTCCCATTGCTGCTGCTGTTCCCATTGCTGCTGCTGCTCAGGAGTCCACTGTTGCTGCTGCTGATCCCACTGTTGCTGCTGCTCTTCTTGTTGGATATCTTGCAGCTGTGCAGATTGCTGCTGCATGTACTGTGTTTGCTGCTGTTCCTCCTGCTGCATGTCCAAGGTAGCATCAACATCTGCTGCTGCTGCTGCTGCAGCAGCATCCTGCGAAGTAGCTCTCTTTGACTCTCGTACTTGTCGTACAGCAGCCGCAGCAGCTTCAGCAGCAGCAGCAGCAGCAGCAGCAGCATTAGCAGCAGCAAGAGCAAGTTTACTTTTTTTATTAGTATAATCATAAGCAATTGCTCTTCTTGTTTCTTTGTCCTTTTGCTGCTGCACCTGCAGCAACCTAAAGTGTATAATTCCTTCCTCTACGGGTACAGGTGGACGTACAGTCTGTACAACTTTTGCTGCTGTTGCTGCTGCTGCTGCTTTCCCTCCTCTCCGCAGCAGCCGCACCTTTACAGGTATTGCTGATTGCTTCCTGCTGCATGCAGCTAAACTATTAGGGTATCTCTTAGGAAGACTACGAATAAAGTAATTACCTCCATTGCTGCTGCTGCTGCCTGCTGCTGCTCCTGCTGCTGCTGCTCCTGCTGCTCCTGCTGCAGGAGGTACACAATAAGGTACTAATAGTTCATAACGACCAGAGGGAAGCAAACGCATAGGACGGCCCTCTGAGTCATAGTATATGTTGGCTTTTGCTTCCTCCTCCTGCTGCAGCAGCAGCTGCTGCTGCTGTTCCTCCTGCTGCTGCTGCTCCTGCTGCTGCTGTTGTAACTGCTCCTGTTGCTGCATCTCCTGCTGTTTCTGCTGCTCCTGCTGCTCCTGCTGCTGCTGCACTTGATCCTGCTGCTCCTGCTGCTCCTGCTCCTCCTGCTGCAGTTTCGTCTTGTGCTGCTTCAGCTGCGTTCTGCCTATCTTGTCTTCTGCTGCTGTTGGTGATGCTGCTGCTGCTGCTGCTGCCTTCTTTTTGTTTGTTGTTTTCTTTTTCTCTGTCTTCTGTTTGCCTTTTTCTTTTCCTCCTTTCTTATGATTACTTCCCCCTAATCCCTTCTTCGTCGGCTCCTTGCCATGGGGGGCCCCCTCCTCAGTACCCTTTTGTGGGCCCCCTGATGCTTTTCTAGTAGCTTTAGGGTTGGCTGCTGCTGCTGCTGCTGGTAGTGCTGCTGCTGCTGCACTTAACAACTTGGTCGGGTCCTCCGCTTGCTGCCCAGTATTAAGTTGAGAAGGTAGTGTATCTGCTGCTGCTGCTGCGGCTGGTGATGCTGCTGCTGCTGCTGCTGCATCTCTTGATTTTAGCTGTACAAGAGTTGTGCTGCTGCGCTGCTGCTGCGGCAGCGAGACCATTGAAGATCGTGCAGAGTCAACAAAGACCCTAGATCCAGTTCCGTGCTGCAGCAGCTGCTGCTGCTGCAGCTGCTGTTTCTGTTGCAGTTGCTGCTGCAGTGCAGACACCATCGGCTGTATCTGCTGTTGCTGCTGCTGCTGCTGCTGCTTATCCTCAGGGAGAATCATAAGAAATGTGTCTGCTGCAGGCTTCCCTCCCCAACAAGAAGGAGAGACATTTTCTCCTTCAACTGAATCTGAATTTGCGTCACTCCATGAATCCCAATACTCGGCCACTGGCCGTTTAAATCGGGGGTCGACAAGCGACATCCTGCTGCTGCTGCTGCTGTTGCTGCTGCTGCTGCTGCTGTTGCTGCTGTTGCTGTTGTTCCTGCTGGTGGTGTTGGTGTTGGTGTTGGTGTTGGTGATGGTGTTGGCGGTGTTAATGACCGGTTAACTTGTCGTTGTTGTTGTCGTTGTTGCTTCTGCTGCCTTAATCGTTATCTATTACTTAATAAGAAGGGAGGGGGAAGAAAGACGAAGGGAAAGGAAAACGACGTCTCGATGTTGTACTACGGCCGGCTAGCTGCTCGGTGCGAGACGGGGGGCCTCTTGGGGCCCCAAGAAAAGATTTAAATCTTAAAAAATGAAAAAATAAGAAATGAAAGGAATTAAAGCATAAAAAGTGTAAAAAAGAGGGGAAGTCGTGGTAAAGTTGAACACACACGATGATTCCGGTTCGGCCGCTGGCTGGTGGTGAAGCTGTGGCTACACCGGGACGATCTTCCCCGTAAAACGGTACCTTTTACCGTTTAAAACCTACAATTATTTATTAAAAGGGAGAACACACTGAAATATACCATAAAAATATGATAAATAAACAAAATGATGCCGCAGAAAGAGAGGAAATACTCCTGCGGGCAGCCGACGGCGCCGCCACGGGAAGCCGACAAGGATGACAGATTTCCTTTATCCAAGTGGTAATTTATTCGCTTTCTTCTTGAAATAGTATCTTTAATACGTTGTTATTTCATAAACAAACAAAAACAGAAAAAATGTTCATAAAAAAGCCGCGAAACCTTCAATCTCGTCACCGCTCACTTCTTCGGGTGTATCGGCAGCTCCGATGAACTACCACCATCTTATTGCGTGCACTTTTCCTTCAATTTTCGTCATAATTAAAATTGTTTTTTAACAAAATATTAAAATAAACATAAATTTATTTAAATATTCCCTCCTCTCTTGTGTTTATCCGCTTAATAGCGACAAGAAAAACAGAAAAGACCGTCATCTTCCCGTCATTTTTCTTATCATTGAATTTGTTGTTCCCCTTAAAAAAAAATTCAACTTTTGATTTTTCTCCTTTTTGAGGTGTACGTACACCTGAATTTATAGCATAGTATTTTATTACTATAATAAGGTAGTATTACTATTTAATTACGTTTTATTTAATATTACTAATTATAAATAATATGTTGTTAGCTAGTAAGGGAGAGGGACAAGAAGATAGTAAGAAGTAATACCCCTTATTTATTTATTTAATGGTAATAAACAAAACTATTTTATTACTATTTATTTATATCTCCTTTTTACTACATTAAGGGTAATAAACAAAAGAAGAAAATAAATAAATAAATAAATAAATAAATAAATAAAGGCAAAAAGGCGTTAGTTTGTTGTTACCCCTCGCATAGCGACAGCAACAAGAGAGAAGAAAACAGCAATAAAATAATATTATTTATTTATATTTATATTTATATATTTGTATTTATATTTATATATATAATAATAAATTATTATTATTATTATTATTATATAAATATAAATAAATATATAATTAAATAATTTTTTATTTATATATATTTATATACGCGATTAATAACAAAGAGGAAGGCAAAAAAAAGATGAATAAATGCATGCATGTATGTATATGCATGCATGCGCAGCAGCAAAATAAGAAGAAAAGATAGAATAATAATAAATAAATAAATAAATAAATATAAATAAATAAATTAATAAATAAATTAATATAAATATATAAAAAAAAAAAAAAAAAAAAAAAAAAAAAAA